GTTGTGGAGTCTCCTTCTCCGGAGATATTCAAGACCCGCCTGGACAAGGTCCTGTGCAGCCTGCTGTAGGTGACCCTGCTTTGGCAGGGGGTTGGACTAGATGACCCACAGAGATCCCTTCCAACGCCTATGATTCTATGATCCTCCAACCAAGTGGCAATCAGCTGCTGAAGAACTGCTTGGCTTCAGTTGCACTGAGACTGTCACTGTTAAGAGTCTGTACTGGGCAAATCCTCTATGAATCTGCCTAATTCCCCTTTGAAGCAATTTATGCTTTGGGGCTCCAAAAATTCCAGTGGCAATACGTTCTGCAGCCTACCATTTAGTTTAGTTTTTAAAAGTATTTTCCTTTTGCTTATTTTAAACCTGCTGCAGCAGAGCTCCGTGACAATGCAATACAGAGCAGTTGAGTGGTGACTTCTGATGTATTTATAAGAATCTGGAAAAGATGATGGAGTTAGAGTTGAGGCTGGACCCTAGGAGGTGATGCTGACAAGCAGTTTCACTGGGAAAGCAAGGAAAGCCCATCACTGCAATTCTGTTTCCCTGACAATGAGGTCTTCACAATGGCTTTCAACCATCAGCTGATGAGGAGGAAGAGGGCAGCCCTCAGAACAGGGGAGAATGATGCTTTCCAGCTCCGTGGGTTGCTCTGAACTCCAGCTCAACCTAAGGAAATTAGAGCTGTCCAGCCGCAGCAGGGTAAGAAATGGTACTCCCTCTGTTTGCCCCAGGCATTCAGACTCATCTGGGCTTTCTGCTGAGCTTCACAGTGAGTTAAGATGCCAACTGAACGTGCACTTTACCTTTGGTAAAGTCTCTTCTCTCTTTCTTCAACAGATGAAAATAGCTTATCGTTTCTGGCAGATGCTGAAATGACCCACCACAAATCATCATCTTTTTTATTCCAGGACCATCTAATGCACAGCTCAGCCACCAGCCTCTGGTCACCGGTCTGCTTGAAATCCTCCTCTTTTCCAGCCACATACCTGGCTGCGAGG